ACAGCTGCAGACACCAGACATTGTTGCACTCACGGAGACAAAACTTGAAGATGTAATTTTAAATGAGGTCATATTCCCAAGGGGCTACTCAATTTGGAGACGGGACAGAAAAATTAGGAAAGGCGGTGGCGTTGCTGTGCTGGTAAAAGAACACCTAAAGGTGAAGGAAATAATGACTGCCAATCCACAAGAAGTTGACATAATAGCACTAGAGATCTGCTATGAGGATGATAAACTAATGATGATAAATGCATATAGTCCACCGCCAAGCAGCACATGGTCAAAGGAGGAGCTAGATAGTAAACGTGAAGGTCTTATAACAATAATGAGAGAGATTATAGCGAGAGCGGATAACGATAGATCACGACTGTTGATAGTCGGTGACTTCAACTTGAAATCCATAGACTGGGAAGCATATGAAGCTAAAACAGAAGATTTTTGGACCTGTAAATTTGTAGACCTCATCCTGGAAACATTCTTGTATCAACATGTTAAACAAGCTACGAGGATGAGGGAAGGGGACGTTCCCTCCATGCTAGATTTGATATTTACCAGGAAGGAGGAAGAGATATTTGACATTCAGTACCTTCCTCCCTTGGGTAAAAGTGACCATGTCTTTTTGGGAATAAAGTATGCAATGCGTTATAAGCTGGAAGAAAATAAGGAGGTTGAAGCAGTTGAAAAACCAGACTTCAGGAGAGGACATTATGGTGACCTTAGAAATTTTTTTAGTGAGTATAATTGGACAGACTTGATGCTAGGCAAGGAAGTGAATGAGATGTATGGCAAGTTTTGTGAAATATATGATAAAGGCACAAAAAAATTTATACCAAAACAGAGATGCAGGACCAGAAAACAGGATTGGTTCGACAGAAATTGTGAGAGGGCAAGAGACCAAAAGACACAAAAATGGAATCAGTATAGGAAGAGGCCAAACCCCCAAACATACCAGCGATACAAAGATGCGAGAAACAATTATACAGCAGTAAGGAGAGAGGCAGAAAGAAATTTTGAAAAAGGGATAGCAGATAAATGTAAAACAGAACCGGGCCTATTCTACAAATTCATAAACAACAAATTGCAGGTAAAGGATAATATCCAGAGGTTGGAAATGGGAAACAGATTCACGGAAAATGAAAAGGAAATGTGTGAAACATTAAATGAAAAGTTCCAAAGTGTGTTTGTACAAAATGAAATCTTCAGAGAACCAGACACAATAAGAATTCCAGAGAACAACATAGAGCGGATAGAGGTGTCTAGAGATGAAGTGGAAAATATGCTAAAGGAGCTCGGGAGGAACAAAGCAGCTGGCCCAGATGGCGTTTCACCATGGGTTCTGAGAGAATGTGCATCTGAGCTCAGCATTCCACTTCACCTGATCTTTCAGGCATCCCTGTGTACAGGAATCGTAGCAGACGTGTGGAAACAGGCTAACATAGTTCCAATCTACAAAAGTGGCAGCAGGGAAGACCCCCTCAATTATAGACCTGTATCATTGACAAGTGTAATAGTGAAAGTATTGGAAAAGCTAATCAAAACTAAATGGGTAGAACACCTGGAGAGAAATGATATAATATCAGACAGACAGTATGGTTTTCGATCAGGAAGATCCTGTGTATCGAATTTACTCAGTTTCTATGATCGGGCCACAGAGATATTACAGGAAAGAGATGGCTGGGTTGACTGCATCTATCTGGACCTAAAAAAGGCTTTCGACAGAGTTCCACATAAGAGGTTGTTCTGGAAACTGGAAAATATTGGAGGGGTGACAGGTAAGCTTCTATCATGGATGAAAAATTTTCTGACTGATAGAAAAATGAGGGCAGTAATCAGAGGCAATGTATCAGAATGGAGAAATGTCACAAGTGGAGTACCACAGGGTTCAGTTCTTGCACCAGTGATGTTTATTGTGTACATAAATGATCTACCAGTTGGTATACAGAATTATATGAACATGTTTGCTGATGATGCTAAGATAATAGGAAGGATAAGAAATTTAGATGATTGTCATGCCCTTCAAGAAGACCTGGACAAAATAAGTATATGGAGCACCACTTGGCAAATGGAATTTAATGTTAATAAATGTCATGTTATGGAATGTGGAATAGGAGAACATAGACCCCACACAGCCTATATATTATGTGAGAAATCTTTAAAGAATTCTGATAAAGAAAGAGATCTAGGAGTGGTTCTAGATAGAAAACTATCACCTGAGGACCACATTAAGAATATTGTGCAAGGAGCCTATGCAATGCTTCCTAACTTCAGAATTGCATTTAAATACATGGATGGCGATATACTAAAGAAGTTGTTCATGACTTTTGTTAGGCCAAAGCTAGAATATGCAGCTGTTGTGTGGTGCCCATATCTTAAGAAGCACATCAACAAACTGGAAAAGGTGCAAAGACATGCTACTAAGTGGCTCCCAGAACTGAAGGGCAAGAGCTACGAGGAGAGGTTAGAAGCATTAAATATGCCAAAACTAGAAGACAGAAGAAAAAGAGGTGATATGATCACTACGTACAAAATAGTAACAGGAATTGATAAAATCGACAGGGAAGACTTCCTGAGACCTGGAACTTCAAGAACAAGAGGCCATAGATTTAAACTAGCTAAACACAGATGCCGAAGAAATATAAGAAAATTCACCTTCGCAAATAGAGTGGTAGACGGTTGGAACAAGTTAAGTGAGAAGGTGGTGGAGGCCAAGACCATCAGTAGTTTCAAAGCGTTATATGACAAAGAGTGCTGGGAAGACGGGACACACAAGCTCTCATCAAACACTATAGGAGCTACTACAGAGCTTTAATAACAACCATACTTTTTAAATAAAAATAAATGTATTTTAAGAGAGCCTAACGATTCTTTCTTGAGATCTTATATAAAAACCTCAAGGAAGAAACATTCAGAAAAACAACACACAGATTAATGAACCATCTGGAATTCTTATATAGAATTATAATTACTGTATTTTCAAAATCTAAATATTTTAAAGACTGCAGAAAAAGTATTTACCCCGAGTAACTTCTCCATTATCTGTGACACAGACATGTAGCAGTACCCAAAGCAGCAGGAAAATTAGAGATTAAAGCAACTGTTAATAATCAGTAATGCAACAACAATATTACCAGCAAGCTTAATCATGTAAATAAATGCCTTGCATAAAAAAAAAAAAAACTAAGATTTTATTCCTCTTTGAACCAAGAGGTTATGTTACATTTACTTCTATGGTAACATTTAATACAAAAATAAAAATTCATTATTTAAACATCTTATACCAAGAGCAAGTACACCATAAACATTAAACTGGGTCATAGCACAACCAATAGCTATGTCTGTAGCTTAGATCAAACCTGTTAGCCTGTAAAAATATAGGTGTGAAATGACAGCTCAATAAAAAAATACAGGCTAGGGTAATTTATGAGCATCTACCGTTCACTATTCTTCACAAAATGTTTCATGAAGAATAGTGTGGGGGTTGTTTAACTATTTTAATTATTATTAAAATATTTACCAGTACCATAAATACATGTACAGTATATCTGATTCCTCCTGATTTGACATGTGACTTGCCATAAAATCTATGAGTTCTACATGTCATACGTAAAACCTATCCATTCCACATGCCATACACCAAACTTACCCTTACCATGTGTCATACATAAAACCAGCTGGTCTGGTGGAAACACATGAAAAACCTTTCCATGTGTAAAAACCTATCCTTTCCATATGTCATACATAAAACCTATCCTTTTCATTTGCCACACAAAAATAAATATATTCACTTCCAATATGTAAATCCTATACATTTCACTTGTACACACACACACACACACACACACACACACACACACACACACTAGTGTTTGCTTAAATAAAAAATTGATTTAAGCCCAAATAATAAGTTATGTACAGTATTTAGCATTTGTGAATTAGACAGCCTTTCACAGATCCTGTATCTTATTTTTGTATTGTTGTCAATGTTTCTTTTCAAATTACATGCTTGCAAGAAATCCTTATCCCCCCACTTATGATTTAATTACTTGCACAGATATCAATAAATAATCTCTTGCATCGCTCAAAGTTTGGTTCTATATAATAAGTAATATGCAACACACTTAAATGTTGCCATACATGTATTTAACAATATGAAAACAAATGTTACAAACAATACATGTCTCAGGACTGTTCAAATATCTCAAAAATTGCCATCGTACCATAAGACGACTTCATGTTCAATATCATTATTATTTTTCCTATTTTATCACTAGCCTGGCAAATGATCTCTAATAAATGGATTAGAAAGTTCAGAAAGCCAAGTTAAAAACAAAAAGCCAAATAACAATCACAAATCAAATTTCCTCTACTAAAACCTACACACACAAGTGCAGTGACAATATACAAAATGGTCCCTAAAGATAGAGCATGTTTTGTAAACAACACTAAAATAAGGTTTTATCCATGAAGTTTGATGCAACGAATTCAATGGAGATTGTGCCAAGTTGACCTCAGCAAGTTAAATAGTGGATCAGTAGGGGTGAAATTCTACTCATTACACCCTAATACAGTACTACTAAAAATTGACTCAACATTCAATCACTGCGGTAACTATGCATTATGCCTTCGTACAGTTTTCGCACATATACTACACATACAGTAATGTGTTTTGCAAATTTATATGAACAATAAGCAGAAAAAACTCTACAAACTGACAAAACTAAATTAATTTGCAACTTTTAAACAACCTACCCATAGAACTTTACAAAGTGTGTAATGAGTAACTAACACTGGTCAACTTATACACCTGCTCAGGCCAACCTGTAATGAGCAAAATAATTCATGGGAAAAAAGATTACCTCATACCTGTCAACAAAAAATGCTCTATTCTGAAGAACCTGAATAGGCAATACTTGTCAATTCTATTGGGACAACAGATACTAAATACCCCACAATACGTGATTAGCACTTATAACAGCACGAGAACTCGGGTTTGAAAGTACCTCTGTTGGCACCTCCCCAAAAGACCATCTATTCGAACTAGGACTTAAGAACAGCTCGGATAATCTCTGCCAAAAAAGATGCACATCACAATGTGAATTTTTAATAAATATACCTTGTACAACATGGAAGAAAAATGCATAATATTAGTATTATGATTCTGCATAGTATAGCCTTTCATGATGCATGAGCTAAGCCAGCACATGATTACTGAGAATCGTTCAGCTTATCTGCTGTGCATATTCTTTATAAGTTGCACATGCAAGCTGGCAAGCACAAGTGAAGATCACTTAAAACAATGGCTAATACCTGTGGGCAATGGCTAAAGCAAGTGTTAATGAGCTCAATATGTTGATTTTATAATTAATAAACTTCAATACTAACAATATTAATTTGAATAAAGTTCTTCAACGAGTAAGTTAGTAAAATGTATTAAAATTGCATGAAAATCGGGGCAGAAGAAATAATTACTGAATACAAAAAATTTTAGTTTTCAAAGGTAATCATTGTGGCTGTCACTACATTTTGAGTTAGTAATTCTAGAAAAGTGAAAATAGCTAATTACCCTTGTTTGTCTGCTGCAGATCACCATAACTTTGTCGAACACAAAAACATATCTGAAATAGCAGAAGAAAGCAAATAAGCAAGTGGGACAGGTCATATGCATATAAATACACGGTGAGGAAAGTAACAAGCCCATGGTTTACTTTAACAATTTCGATTATGACAACTTTTTTCAGAAGTAATGTACAAACTAAATAGAAGCAAAACAAAATTAGGTTCTTGCCTTTTACTTAAAAAAAAAAAAAAAAAAAAAAAAAAAAAAAAAAAAAAAAAAAACTCATCCTGTAACTACAGTTAGATAATTACACACACACACACACACACACACACACAATGCATGGCCCTGCAAGACAAGCTCCAGAGATAATTGTATGATCATCAGAATTAAGAGAGACCGAGGAACATCGGAACTAGCTGCACGAAGCAGACGCAGGATCTACAGTAACCGACAGATCCATAACACAACCAACGGTGATTTAGGTAGACATCCTTCCTGGTGCACATGCATGGTACAATACCTACTAAAAGTCTAGCAACAAGAGAATTGCATTTGGCTTTAATCCCTGAATCCAGTCTATCAATAAGGGTAAGAGAGACCACGAATTACAAAAATTTGACTAAAAATTTTAATAAAGAAAAGGAAGTTACATTATGAAACTGAACCAAAGCTCCTTCACCTACATGGGAAAGGTAATATACACGACATGCGTAAAGTGTATCGTAAGGTTATAATAAGTTCACTCTCATCCTAGAGTTCCACATGATAACCGAGTTGTTGAGAACTACTCGTTACAAGTCATACCCCAAAACAATCATCTCATATCCAAAGCCAAACACAACCACCTCAGAAGAACTCTTGTGGCTGTTGGTCACCATACTATGTCAGGGAAGAGAACCCTGAAACTATGTCAATGAAGAGTTATGAAACAATCATAAGCATGGAATCCCCAACTAAAAGCCAAGTTTACTGAATGAACAGCCAAGATTTCATAAAGAGAAAACTGGTCTCAAATCAATACTTTGCTGCCCACTGGGGTGTCATGCAAAAAGTGAGGTGGTCACGGTCCTACTCTCCAGTGGATCGAGCTGACCAGTTGGTGGCCAGAGTAGTCAGGTGGTGGGATATGGACAATTTTAGAAAATTGTACGGAGATAAAGTGTTGCCAAAATCTTTCAGAAAGAACTTGTTTCAAGTGTACAATTCAAACCCACCTCTAGATCTCTCTCTTTGTTAAGAGTTCTTAAAGTTCTTCCCCACATGATTTGAAGGTCATGTGTGGTTTATTTTCTCCTATTCCCCACATGCATGCATGTGTGTGTGGGGTCTAAATAAGAACTGCTTCGTATGGCCCAATAGGCCTTCTACAGATTACCTTTATTCTTATGTTTTTAACCATTTTTTTTACGATGCTTCTATTTATTATAGCAGGCAGTTTATCTCGGCCATGTGATTAATCTCCAACCTCTCCATGAGCTACCAGTCCCATTAAGGGGACATGATAGAATTTGAAATAAACCCCGTCATTCTCAAGGGTTTGAAATGTTATTTAATACCTAACAATTTGGGGGAAAAAACTTATGAAACCAGGAGTTTTTCAAGGTGCACATTTCTGAGCACAGCTTTCTATCACTCTCCAAGATAAAATTCACGTGTCCAAAGAACAGTACATGTACAGTCAGGGGGGCAAGACGACACACTGCACCAGCACAGCAGAGTTAATTTCAACTAACCCCTTCAAGGTCATAATAGCACTATAGAGAATTGAAAAGATTTAACCCAACACTGTAAGCCCCTGTAAGGAACTCCCATATGTTTTCTAAACCTCTTCATGAATTTCAAATCTCTCCAAGAACTCCCCAAGATTAAATATGACTGCTGAGTACCATTCTGATAAATACCAGCTACTACAGTCCCCAAGGCCATTACTTGTGTCCACCACAACAATATTCCAATGAAATTCAACACCCACTTCCTTGTATGAGGAAAACACTGGTGAGCACAGAATGCCAAGAAAGACCAGGAGTGTTAAGACACCCATGCTCATAAAGGACTGTCACACAAGAGGTCAAGGACTATTTTCTGAAATAATTCCCAAATCATTCCCTAAGGTGTCTAATATGGAAGGTAAAGTACACAATAAAAATAAAAAAAAAAAAGGGGAGACTAATACTGAAGAGCAGTGCTCAAAGAATTTTACATTTCTTGGAGAATCCAATGAAAGCACAGGGAACTCTGCCAAAAGATTAACCTAGATGAGAACTGGTATGGCACCATACACTGGAATCTCCAACAGGGAAGCCTCAAAATGTAACAGGTGGCAATGGAACAGATGCACTTCCAAAAATCCCCAAGCTTGGTTGTCAAAACAGGACATTGCAAAGAAACCCTTCAAGGTGATAAAACTCCAGTTTTGGGTCACTGTTTGACACTGCATTTTAAACTATTTCTGTAACATATATTGCACCTTACCTCCTGATACTTACAAAGTAAATAAGAACAAGGTAGCAGGACACAATGTAACAGTATAATCAGACAATGTGTGGGCCTTCAATGTACTACACTACAATGTAAATAACAATTGAGAAGATGAAACATTAAATCAACGTACCTCTTTTTAATTTGTTCTGGGTGACATTCAATCCTCGTTTCGCCGTCATATCTGAGTTTTCCAAGGTCATCTAAATTGCTAAGATCATTAGGCATGTCCGTTATACTCATCTGAAATTATATATAGATTACAATCAATATTTATCTATACAGTCAACTCTATCCAAGTGAAGCTTGATTTAGACGAGAGCAAATGCACTAAACATTGATACAACGAAGAAATATGTCGAGTACGAAATGAGTGGAAGTGAAATGTGTGTTTAGTGGAATGTAACTCCCTTTACTAGCTGCACTTGGTAGCTCACCTCTCAGCACTGAACCCGTTCAGAACACCGTAGCTCAGATCTTGACAAGCTACAGTACGACCAATAAGGACAAGTGGAGATCAGTGGAGGGCATCTCTCAGTCCACCATCAAGATAAACCTCCTGCTTTAACACAAATATTTCAAACTGCTCAATCTTCAAGTGATTCTCGGTAACTACACCTACCACTACAAGATGGCAAATGACTAACAGGAGATGAAGGACGTGGATAACCCTGCACCCCTCCCATGCAAACTCTGCTAAGAAAGGAATTAAAGAGTGGGAATAAGGAGTTAAGATACCACTTAGAATGGGGACTCTCATTCCATTCAAAGCTCATTACTAAACAAGGACCATACAGCTATTACCAAATGCCTTCTACCTACAGAGCCAATCTTTGTAGTGGTAAAACAAAATGAAACTTATCCCAGGAAGCCATAGTATGCAGAGATGGCCCAAGGACAAAGCCAACCGAAGACATTCTGCCAATCGAATGTAGCCTATGATGAAATTTTGGCAGTGAAGTCATTGAGACCTAGATAACAATTACAACATGGTAAATACCACCTTGAAGTAAGGGAACTGGAATTTCACTCTAAAGAATCTTAAGGAGTACAGATCAGGTCCACAATAATGTACAAACCTAGTTGTACTTACCTAGTTGTGCCTGTGAGGGTTGAGCTTTGGCTCTTTGGTCCCGCCCCTCAACCGTCAATCAACTAGTGTACAGATTCCTGAGCCTCCTGGGCACTATCATATCTACATTTGAAACTGTGTATGGAGTCTGCCTCCACCTCATCACTGCTTAATGCATTCTATTTGTTAACTACTCTGACATTGACAAAATTCTTTCTAATGTCACTGTGGCTCATCTGGGTACTAAGTTTCCATCAGAGTCCCCTTGTTCGTGTTCCACCCATGCTAAAGAGTTTGTCTTTGTCCACCCTGTCAATTTCCCTGAGAATTTTGTAGGTGGTTATGATGTCTCCCCTTACTCTCCTATTTTCCAGGGACCTGAGGTTCAGCTCCCTTAGCCTTTCCTCATAGCTCATACCTCTTAGTTCCGGGACTAGTCTGGTGGCATCTCTCTGAATCTTTAACTTTTGTCCTGTGTCTAACTAGGTATGGACTCCAGGCTGGAGCTGCATATTCCAAGATTGGTCTGACATAGGTGGTATACAGGGTCTTGAACAATTCCTTACACAAGTTTCTAAAGGCAGTTCTTATGTTGGCCAATCTAGCATATGCTGCTGCTATCCTTTTGATATGGGCCACTGGGGATAGGTTCGGTGTGATATCAACCCCCAGATCTTTCTCTATTTGACTCTTGCAGGATCTCGCCTCCCAGATGGTACCTTGTTTTCAGCCTTCTGCTCCCTTCTCCTAATTTCATTACTTTGCACTTTTCTGAGTTGAACTTTAGTAGCCACTTTCTACACCATTCCTCCAGATTGTCCAGGTCGTCCTGTAGTCTCTTGTCTATCTTCATCTGTCTTGATTCTTCTCAATTTTTGCAACCTCAGTAAATATTTGAGGAATGAGTCTATACCCTCTGGAAGATTGTTTACATATACTTTATTAGAAACAGGATGGGTCCAAATACAGAACCCTGTGGGACTCCACTGGTGACATCTTGCCACTCTGATGTCTCCCTCTCACAGTTATTCACTATTTCCTGTTGCTTAGATACTCCCTTATCCCATGGAGCACCTTTCCTTTCATGTCTACATGTTGCTCCAACTTTTGTAGCAGCCTGTACGGCTATCAAACACTAAACCCCATCACCCAAAGATGAGAACATAAACCTCAACTGACAGAACAAAGATGTTGCCTATCATTATTCTCAGCACAAACTCTGAAAATGGTTAAAAAATTTGACACTGCTGGAGTTTAAACCGAGCTCAACACAGAATAGCAAAGTTTGCAGAGAGACGCCAGGGTACTAGGGTGAATAAAGGTATGTCAACCCATCAAGGGTCACTTGGATTATCACAAGGGTCACTTTAATTATCACAAGGGTCACATCAAGGGTTTAATCAGTTCAAAACTTATCCAAAACATGTTTTGAAGAGAGTTTGGGTGCCTTTGGCCTCTTCGTTACTGTTAAGTAATGTTTCAATACTGGGACGAGTTCCCTGTAGTGAGTCTCTCCCAGAAACCTCGAGTTGGTTAGCCTGACCAATAATGGCCATTGCTTAACCATAGGGAAGCTACCGAGTGGGCTACCAAGAAAAGTAACCATAGAATATATAAAAGAGTGACAAGTACACACACACACAATGTACTTATGCTCAGAATATCAGACACCTTAATCTAATGGATACTCTATTATTATGAATCAAGACTTCTCCAATAGTTAATTCTTTTCTGCCCTGCAATAGTTACCGTCTATTCTGATCTGTTCAGATGAGGTTACACTGTATGTACCAATATGCATTTTTACTAATATATTTTGAATTAAAATTCAAACTACTTGCATCTTATTCCAGACAAAAATAATCTCAAGCAGGTTTGATATTAACCTGTTAGCCATGTTAGAAGTAATCATCTAGAGTGAATGAGTGAGAGCTTTAATGCTAAGTTAATTTTCATTACTAAACTGCATTGCTAAAACTAATACTAAAGAAAACGTCCAGATACCTGGAGGTCTTTTATGATTTGAAGCATTTCATTGTCACGCTTCACTTCATTGATATATTCAGCCAAGTCCATCATTGCCGCATGAGCTTTCTTCAGATTCCCCATGTCACTGTGAGTCTGTAATCAAAATGATTTAAATTATTACCCGTACCAGAATTTGCAAACTTTGTCATTTGTGTAAAACATCAAGATGAGAGAAGACTTTATAGATAATATTTAACTGTAAAAAGCTTTGTAGAATAAAAATCTAACAGATACACAGGCTGGTACATCTTTGCTCGACATGAAAAAAGCCCTCACAGACAAAAGGTTATTTACAAAAGTAATTACATCCATCTTGGTCTTTCTCTACATCACTGTCAGCACTTTGTGCACTTGCCTTTGCACTTATTCGGAGACTAGGCCGCGGAGACGTTGATCCTCAGAGCCAGTGCAAGGTAAATATGCCATCATGTTGAGACTATTTAACAGGCCCCGTATAGCAGAGGTTAACACATTTGGTTCACATTGGAAGGATCCCAGGTTCAATACCAAGACAGATGCCTTGGCAAGTTTCCTTTCTCCAAGTATACTACAATGAAATTAGAACTTACCGACTGAGTATGACGCACGAGCTCATTTAATAAAAGGTGATATTTAAGAATCCGTTGAAGAGGCACAACTAGATACTCCCGCAATTGATGTCTCCCGTCACTCACTTCTTGTTGACACTCCTTAGGGAAAGAAAAAACACTGCACTATATAAATTATCAACCACACTTTCATGAAAATAAACATTTCATTCACTTGAGCACTAGGAGACTTGAACCGCTGACCCTACAGGTGTGAGGCAGATGCTCTAATGTTGTACTTTCTCCTTCCTAATACAGGAAGGTGCCCTGTATAACAACAGTACTGAAATGTACAGTGGTAGAGCAGTGGTAGAGTACAGCTCTACCACTGTATATTAGCAGAGTTTCTACCTCATGCCTATGGGGTCAGTGGTTGTGTCTCTTAATGCACATGTGAATGAAATGTATTATATATATATATGCAAAGTACAGTGGTACCTTCGTTTACGATCGAAATCTGTTCCCAGAGACGTGTCGTCAATCAAAAATACGGCAACCGAAATGAATTTTCTCAAAAGAAATAATGTAAATTGAATTAATCCGTTACACACCCCAAAAAATATTAATTTAAAAATACATTTTATACAGAATAATATTCATATTTTTCATACTCAAAACAATCGGGTATAAATATAAACCATAAATAAAATAAGCGAACATTTAACTGCACTTTACTGATGACTCTTGGTGGCGTATGGGAGGGAGGGAGGGAGGGAGGGAGGGAGGGAGGGAGGGGGGGAGGGAGGGGGAGGGAGGGAGGGGGAGGGCAGGGGAGGGCAGGGGAGGGGAGGGAGGGAGGGAGGGAGGGGGAGGGAGGAGTGCTGTTAGTGTATGGAGAGGGTGAGGTGATGGCGAGACCGTCCCCTGCTCGCCTTAAACACTTTCGTATCTGCAACACTGGTTCAGATTTTCCTTTCAAACATTTCACTGCCTCTATCATGTGGTAGCCAGTCAGAACAGTCACAAGTCAGTCACGCATTCACAGTCAAGACCAGTCAGAGGCAGTCATAACCAAAGGCAGTCAAGCATTCACAGTTGTGGTAGCAACCGGTTAGGCATTTAGTCATTAAACCATTTACAGTCAATCAGGCTTTCACAGTCAGTAAACAACAAGAGTTTAATGTCATGCAGTCTGTCTCCTGATCCACCACCAGCTGGTGGCAATGAAGCCTGTATTTATACTGTCCAGATGTGGCTGGGAGGGTACAGCTGGGGGGGGTTGTTATCTTGAGGTTATCTCGAGATGATTTCGGGGCTTAGTGTCCCCGCAGCCCGGTCCTCGATCAGGCCTCCACCCCCAGGAAGCAACCCGTAGCAGATGTCCAACTCCCAGGTACCCTTTTACTGCTAAGTAACAGTCCTAGGTCCCAGAGCTAGGTAGCCAAGTCCGGTGTGGGGGATGGAAATAGTACGAAGGGTCCAGTGGCGGGATGGGGGGTATGAGGGGTAGTGAGGAGGGTGTGGTGATGGGGACGGAGGTTCACCCCCACCATCCATCCACCCCCTATCCATCCATCCATCCATCCACTCCCTATCCATCCATCCACCCCCCTATCCATCCATCCAGTTCCCATCCACCCATCCATCCAGTCCCCCCCCCCAGTCCATCCAGTCTTCATCTACCATCCAGTCCCCCCCCCACTGTCCATCCAGTCCTCTTCTACCATCCAGTCCTCACATCCATCCATCCACCCCCTATCTATCCATCAGTCCAGCCCATCATCAATCCTTCCATCCAGTCCCCTCACCATCCATCCAGTTTCCCCCCTCCATCCATCCATTCAGTCCCCCTCACCATCCATCCAGTTCCCCCCCCCTCCATCCATCTATCCAGTTCCCCCACCATCCATCCATCCAGTCCCCTCACCATCCTGGGATCCATGGTGTGATATATACAAGAAGAACTGTACTGTTCAGAAAGCAGAAAAAATTAAATTCTTTACAAAGAATTCAAGGTCAACAAACCGAGAGCGTCTCGCCCCGCACCCTCAGTACCACACGCTCGTTCGACCCATACGGGTACGAACAGACGCTGTCTTCCAAGTAAACCGTCATGTATCGACTCAAATTTTATGATGAAATTTATGTCATGTTCAAAAAAATTTGTCTTCTAGGGCAGTCGTTAACTGAAGTTCCACTATACAGTACTGTACATATATTACATCGGGAAAATTTGGAGTGGGATGAGAAGACATGAAAATACTGTAGTACTACTCTTATACAGTTTGCAGAATACAAGAAACTGCCTTTCAAGAATTTATACAAATAATTGTATGCAGAAAATGTGTTTGGAAGGGCAAGGGTAGCACCGAAATCGAATACAAAACATTGTTAACTCTTTGCAAGTTAAATAAATTAATCCAATACCGACAGTACTTAGACAAAATAAGAGAAAGTGGCTATTGCTGAAGAGTAAAACTTTCTTTCAAAGTCCATCATATTGAAAACATAGTAAATTATTTTGTTTAAAATTATAGACAATTTTATTTTGTAAAAGCAATTAATTAACCTTCAAACTGCTCCCATTAACACAGCAATTCAGCACAATGCTCTGATTGCCTTGAAATTATTTTAAAACCACCTCTGTACAAGTTCAGAGCAAAAATCACAATTTACCTGGATAACATTCCTAATTCTATCATTGTTATTCATGGTATCTTCTAGTTCTTGTTGAGCAGTGGTGAGGTTAGCACAATATTCTCCATAAACGAGAAGCTTCTCTTGGTTGTCGAGGAATACTTTGGAGACTGTTCTAGAATGGCAGTTTTTTTGTGCCTCGGTTAGACCTTCGTGTATCAGACTGTGTATTCGAGCCAATTCCTGAAAAGATACTTATATATTAATCAACTATTTACGATTGACTTGTCTAAATCCAACAAGTAGTTAAGTTCAGTAATAAAATAGTAGGCTAATGTCAGACTTCTTTTAACATGAAAATTTTGTTGGTGTTAGAGATGACAATGCTACAGCAGCATAGGCTGTAGTCTACAATGACTCAAGGCTAGAAAAATATTGCCTAAAGGAGAGCGAGTAGCCAAGGCTCAGAGATGATACCAAATTTGTTTACCGGAATTTTGCAGAATATTTTCTTCAGTTGCTCATCACTTATTAATTTTTTTAAAGGCTTATAGAAATTATTGCAGAGCATGTGAAGCGCATGAACATAATTGCTTTCTGTTTCTACCAGCTCTTGAAGACAAAGATCCCGCTTTTCTTTTGGCCAAGCTTTGGGCGCCTCCTGCAAAATAGGGGAAAATAAAATAAAATGCTTTCACATGACTTGAAACATTAACATTATAATTATATGTAAATTTATTTTAAATTTATGCATTTAAAAGCAACCAGTTTAGCAAAAATAAAGACAGAAGTTGCATCTATTAAAAATAAATAAAAAATTTCCAAACTGTAGTGCGACTTAATACACTAATGAACAATTACATTTACTCTAATATCTCTACACATAAGCACAGTAAGGCCATGAGATTACAAAGTGAGCAGTAATAGAGTACGGCAAAGAAATACAAAAATTAGTAATGTACTTACAGAATACTGCAAAGAAAGTATGTTTTGAGTGTGTGAAAAATAATGCTTTGATTTAATGTGAAAAGCTCATATTCGAGTCTTATCATTGGCAGTTCTCACAAGAACCCAGTCGTCTGTGGACATCAAATTGTGTGGTCAGGCCAGGGTGACATACATCACAGCACTGCAAGTAATTTGTAAGCATTCCTGCAGGGACATACTGTGCCAAGAATGGAGAGAGAAGTAAATCCTCCACAGAACTGACCATCAGAGATCAGTCTGTAACAGAGCCCTTCCAAACCTACAATTAGCTACAATGCTGATTGCAACAACTGGGGTTCTTCGCTAGCTTCCAGTTGGCCCACCTGGTCAACCTAAGCAACAAACAGCAATGTGGTAGCACCACATTGCTACTGACAGGGTAGTACCCTGTCCATCCTGGTGTGTACTGACCCAGGCCAGTGAACACATTACCTGACACAAAGATCTCAGTACTGTACAGGAAATATAGACAAAAAGGGAAGAGGAAGGGGTGTGCAGCAGCCAAATGATACTCGTAAAGGTGCATTTCAAAGTAACTCTCGACCTTATTTCTGAACCCTTACATATGGCATATTCCTCAAGTAAGGAGTCAAACAGAAGAACAAAAATGGGCAACTCACTGGTGTTGCTCAACAAAGGCTGTCAAGAGGAGGGGAACAACAGGCTAAGAGTAACCAGAAGGTGCAGACCCGAGCAGTCACCTGAACTCAGGCGGCACAGTGAGAACAGACCATACATTGACAGCCCAAATGAGGGAACTTGGAAGGTATCTTTACAAAGGTGTGGTTGCGGTGTAGGTGCATATATAATACATAAATCCAAACAATAAATCCAACACAAGCAATGCATAAAGCTTGTTAACGTTACCAGAAGCAAACAAGACAATCTTGAGAATCTAGTCAGAAAAGAGAAGCAAAACCAAAAAAACCACTTTGACATCAAGAAGTCTAAGACTACTAGCACTCAGGAAGACAATATAGGCTCCAGTGAATAATGAGAAAATGTAATTAAAAAATGCCTTCTTCAGCTGAACAAAGGCATGGATGAAAGGTCAACTTCAGGCGTTCCAATTGCACACAGTAATGCAAAGCAATTATTAGGAACAATATGACAGTCATCACAGAGTATGAAGACAAGAACTAGGTTACCATGGTGGAGACCACCATGCCATTTTGTCTGGTATTGAGAAATGCAATAAGCCTTGAATCGTGACTTCTGCAAATGTAAAGATCAGCACGAATCCTACAGCAGCTTTAACAGCACAGGCAACTGATCTAACACATCAAGAGTGCAGCAGCAGTACCAGGTTGGGCCATCTGTTGGGAACAAAAGTTGTAGCTGCCACAAGAGAGGAACTATATCAATACATACTATGCTATACAGGGAAACTATACAGCCCACAAAACTCACCAACTTTTTGATGGCTAAAGTTCCCCACCCAGTGGAAAGATAACGTTCCTTAAACAATTCCAATTAAGATACGTGTGTGTTCACCACATCATGATCCTGGCCTGGCAACTGGAACACCTGAGGCCTGCTGAACGTGTTGCATATCAATAGGGAGACAGCCTTGTCTAAAGTGAGCACAAGTGAAAGAGAATGTCTGCTAACACAATTGACAAATTGGGAAATGTTATGATTTACCATGGCTTCCAGCAGGTAGACAGTTGGCTGCCAAGGTATCAAATATCAGTCCAAATCAGGCCAATCTTAGGAAAGGCTTAATCTGTCCCTTTAGAGGATTTATCAGGAAGCCGAACCTTGGCTAACAGACAATTTTGGTTGAACTGAACCGCATAATCCATCTTGTAGCCTGATAAGGTTAAAGCTGCAGAATAATATTAGATATCTTAATGCTCAAGCTTTTAAATACACATTCTAAGATGCAAAATGAAGATTTGAACTTTTATACATTGATTTTATGACAAGATCCCTACAAATAATAACTTCCAAATTTTTTGTGCAATTTCAATTTAGAAATTTTAACACTGTTTAGCTGATATGTGATATCTACTTACATTCCAAGGCTCAGAACCCTGCAGTTGCAAATCTCATTAATTTTCAAGCCAATTTAAATTATCTTGTAAGAATTTTGAGTGTTCTGAATTTGTTTACCACCATGCAAATTTAAATGCAACTTTAAAATAGTCCAATTAACTTCATACCCGACAGCAGTTGGGGAATAAGTGAGCTGGCTCTAGAGAATGGTCCCTGCAGTGAACAAGGTGCTGTCACCTTGTTGGCAATCAGTAGGCTTGACCAGACAGCCCAGACAAGAGTTAATAAGAACCAGCATTTAGCAATCAACATTGCTCCCAATGAAAGATTTGTAAGGGATTTTATTTTCTATGGATTGACTTTTGAAGGTCATTTCCATGTTGACCTGGTTATCTCTCCAGTGACTTCTTCAAACACACTATCACCCTAAAGGGATGCTTATACTGTAAATACCCAGCAGTGTCGTGTTGTATGTGGTTCCAGTTGTACCGTGTCCCTACCCGACAGCTGATGTCCAAAGACAGTGGAACCTTATTCAAGGGAGCAGCTGAACACAGGTGTATGTACATTATCCACTCAATTACTCAATTTAAGGACCTCCAATTAACCATTTCAATGGTTTTAATGACTGAATTTGACATTATCTGGAGTCTTATTTACCGAGCCACTGACCTGTCGCCCTCCTGAATGTCTAAAAATTTAGACATTTTAATGCCTCTGGGGTCAGTGGATCCTGGATTTAAATGGGTATGGTATAGCTCCATATACTGTAGGTCATTAAATCGAGTGGATATTGTAAATCCACTATTTATAAAATATAAAGAATGCCATTACATTTTAGACATTTGTTATAAAAACTAAATTATATAATTTAAGATATATAAATAATTTAACTCCATTTAACGTCGACTTAGTTATTACTAATAAAGTAAATGTATTCACATCTACTTACATTATGAACCATTCCTCATACTATGAACCATTAGAATGCCATCAATACAAAGCATTCACCACCTACCATGGTACAGTATTTATTATACCAACATGACGATAATGTTCACAGGCAAGGCAACCACTCAAAATGATAGACTTAAGGACAAATTTATCCTTCTCTGTCCATTTTCAGGACAAATAAAAATGGTGGAGGCATAAAGCAGGCATATAGGTGCTCTCGAAACTTATCGAAAAATGTTCTTGAAAATTCGTCAAAGAATTTGCATTTCAGGGAGAGAAATGCTTTGAAGCATAAAAGGAGGCATTCAAAAAAATATAATGCAAAGCAGGCACTTTGGTTTGTTCAACATGGTAATACCTCGTATGTTGTATCGAAGTCGAGAGGCTCTTCATAAATGTTTTCTTCACTATCATCCCACTATAAATACATGCAACAGGGTTATGAAAACAGCAACCTGATATTATGGACACAAGCAGTAAAATGGTGAACAGGGTTTATTAAAACAATAGTTTTTACACCTTACTTTCATATAATTTTAAATAGTGTATGTATGTACTCAAGCACACGTGTACATATGCACGTTTGAATGTGTGCTTGTATTTTTAATAAAATAAATAAAATATACACACACACACACACAAAGTGAAGAGTAGGGAATTTGAAGAAATAAGAAAATAGACTCGTATAGTGAACAACTCCAAGGGAGCCTGAGGACTAACATGGAGTTAGGCAAGGAGATGCAACGAGAAACATCATTGGCAACTCAAATAGAGGAGACTAATAAAGAACTAGAAAAGTATAAAGAAGAAATAAGAGAGACATGCACAAGTTGTAAAAAGAGAGAGATGATCAAGGAAGTGTGTTTGGAAGTCAAAACCAGAAATGACAAACAAGAAGCAGATCTTAGGCAAGCAATTAGGAAAGAACTGGTTACCAACAGTAAACTGGTACAAAACACTGCAGATAGAAGTAAGTCCATAATAGGTTTTGGATGTTTAGAGAAGGAAATTTCCTCTAGGGTGGACCGAGCAGCAGAAAATGAAAATCATAGAAAAAATAGTAGGATTAGGAGAAGGTCTAAATTCAAAGGAGCATGTCAGTGATTTTAGGAGGATAGGAAAATATGAGAGACAAGAACCGCCCCTTAAGGGTGACGTTTAATGGAGTGAAGTATATGACAGAAGTGCTTTGTAATGCAAGAAAATTGCAATGTGACGAAGATGGCAAACTTTGGTCATTAAGACAAAACCTCTCAAAGGAGGACAGAGAAAAGCTGAAAATGAACCTCATTGAAGCGAAACGTCTAAATGGGGATAGAAATGAAGAAATTTTTTTTTTCTCCACAGTGTCAGGGACTGGAAAGCTTGTGAAATGGTACATAAAGACAAAACAACAAAATCATTAAAGGAAAGGGGTGTAAAGAACAAAGGGAAGGGGAACATGTTCCTGAAAATAGTATACACCAACACAGATGGAGTGAGATCGAAAATATTGGAGTTGAAGGATATAATCAAGCTCAGTCCCAGATATTGTCGCATTAACAGAAACTAAACGAAACGAAACTTGAAAAAAATATTTTAAATGAAGTCGTATTCCCAAGGGGCTACTCAGTTTGGAGATGTGACAGGTAAACTAGGAAGGGAGGAGTGGCGGCTCTGCTGGTGAAAGAACACCTGAAGGTAAGAAGAGTTAATAATTGAAAACCCTCGAGATATTGACATAATGGTATTGCAGATCTGGAATCAAGATAAGCTGATAATTTTAAATGCCTACAGCCCACCAGCAAGCAACAACAAAGGAAGAACTGGATGACAAACGAGATGGCCTTATAATGGTCATGAGAGAGATTATGGTAAGAGCTGACAAAGATAAATCCCGATTGTTGGTCCTGGGGGACCTCAACTTTAAGGAAATAGACTAGGAGGCCTACGACGCAAGAACAGAGGACATTTGGACAGGCAGATTTGTAAACCTCATCTTGGAGACATTCATGTATCAACACGTCAAGCAGGCCACAAGAATGAGGGAAGGGGATGTTCTGTCAATACTGGATCTAATATTCACCAGGAAAGAAGAAGAGGTATTTGACATTCAGTACCTTCCTCCCTTGGGAAAGAGTGATCACGTCCTCTTGGACATTAAATACGCTTTGCGATATAATCTAGCAGAGAATGGGGACACTGAAACAGTTCTTAAAGTCGATTTCAAGAGAGGACGCTATGGGGAACTTAGAAATTTTTTTCATGGGTATAATTGGACAGACTTCTTGTTAGGTAAGGAAGTAAATGAGATGTATGCCATATTTTGCAAATTATACGATGAAGGCACACAAACATTCATACCAAAACAGAGATGCAGACCTAGGAAACAGGATTGGCTCAACAGAAATTGCAAGAGGGCCAGAGATCAAAAGACACAGGCATGGAATCATTATAGGAAGAGGCCAAACACCCAAACATACCGGCGATACAAAGATGCGAGAAACAACTACACGTCAGTAAGGAGAGAGGCAGAGAGGAACTTTGAAAAGGGTATAGCAGACAAATGTAAATCAGATCCAGGCCTTTTCTATAAATTCATTAGAAGCAAGTTGCAGGTAGAGGATATTATTCAGAGGTTGAAAATGGGGGACAGATACACGGAAAATGAAAAAGAAATGTGTGAAAATTAAACGAAAAGTTCCAAAGTGTGTTTGTACAAAATGAGATCTTCAGTGAACCAGACAATAAGAATGCCAGAAACATAAAAAGGTGTCTAGAGATGAAGTGAAACAAATGCTCCTGGAGCTAAGTAAGAACAAAGCAGTTGGTCCAGATGGAGTTTCACCATAGGTTCTGAGAGAATGTGCACCCGAGCTCAGCATTCCACTTCAGCTGATTTTTCAGACATCCCTGTGTACAGGAGTCGTAGATGTGTGGAAAAATGCTAACATAGTTCCAATCTACAAAAGTGGCAGCAGGGAAGATGCCCTCAATTATAGACCTGTATCATTGACAAGTGTAATAGTCAAAATATTGGAAAAAATAATAAAAACTAAATGGGTAGAACACCTGGAGAGAAATGATATATCAGACAGACAGTATGGTTTTTGATCTGAAAGATCCTATGTATCGAATTTACTCAGTTTCTATGATCGAGCCACAGAGATTTTACGGGAAAGAGATGGTTGGGTTGACTGCATCTGTCTTGACCTAAAAAAAAAAAAGGCTTTCGACAGAGTTCCACACAAGAGGTTGTTCTGGAAACTGGAAAATATTGGAGGGGTGACAAACTTCTAACATGGATGAAAAATTTTCTGACGGATAGAAAAATGAGGGCAGTAATCAGAAACAATGTATCGGACTGGAGAAATATCACAAGTGGAGTACCACAGGGTTCAGTTCTTGCACCGGTGATGTTCATTGTCTACATAAAAGATCTACTAGATGGAATACAGAATTATATGAACATGTTTACTGATGATGCCAAGATAATAGGAAGAATAAGAAATTTAGACGATTGTCATGCCCTTCAAGAAGACCTGGACAAAATAAGTAGTATATGGAGCACCACTTGGCAAATGGAATTTAATGTGAATAAATACCATGTTACGGAATGTAGAATAGGAGAACAGACCCCCCACACAACCTATAAATTATGTGAGAAATCTTTAAAGAATTCTGATAAAAAAAGATCTAGGGGTAGTTCTCAATAGAAAATTATCACCTGAGGACCACAAAGAATGTTGTGCGAGGAGCCTATGCCACGCTTTCTAACTTCAGAATTGCTTTTAAATACATGGATGGTGAAATACTAAAGAAACTGTTCACGACTTTTGTTAGGCCAAAGCTAGAATATGCAGTGGTTGTGTGGTGCCCATATCTTAAGAAGCACATCAACAAACTGGAAAAGGTGCAAAGACATGCTACTGAGTGGCTCCCAGAACTGAAGGGCAAAAGCTACGAGAAGAGGTTAGAGGCATTAAATATGCCAAAACTAGAAGACAGAAGAAAAAGAGGTGATATGATCACTACTTACAAAATAGTAACAGGATTTGACAAAATTGATAGGAAAGATTTCCCGAGACCTCGAACTTAAAGAACAAGAGGTCATAGATTTAAACTAAACAAAGATTCTGAAGAAATAAGAAAATTCACTTTCGCAAACAGAATGGTAGATGGTTGGAACAAGTGAAGTGAGGTGGTGGTGGAGGCCAAAACCATCAGTAGTTTCAAAGTGTTATATGACAGTGCTGGGTAGACGGGACACCACGAGCGTAGCTCTCATCCTGTAACTACACTTAGGTAATTACACACACACACACACACAAACTTACTGTACATATTTATTTATTTATATATTGCACACATTTTAAATTAGGATTACTTTTAGGCATTTACTATAAACTGTACTCGAATAATAAACAATATTCACCAAGTGGATAGCCACAAATTAATGATTAAAGTAAAGAGATAAAAGTTTGTAAATTCAAAAATTGTTTTTAAATAAAAAAAAAAGAGTTATATACAGATGACCATAAGCTTTTTTGGCAAAATATCTGTTTGCCATCTAAAAAAAAAAAAAATTTTTTTAATATCAACCATACAATTTCCCAAGAGAGACAACTTCTTACGTTGTGCTCATCTAATGGCAAACTATACTAAGTAAAATTTTAACTCCAACCAATCATTTGATAAATATCTACCAGGAGAACCAGACTGAACAAAGTTTTCAATCATGTCTTCCATACAGTATGTCCCAATGATTATACCATGACAAACTGTATTAGCTCAATGAAGTCCTCCGACTTGCAAAATTCATGAGCGTTTTGCATTGGCAACTATCTTGCACCTGGCTCTTCTATCTCTCACTACTGCCTATACCACTCCCAGACTGCATTATTTACTATACATTTAACATTTACTCACTGCCTTAATACATCCTTCTCAAAAGTTATCACAGAATGCTTTCTCTTGGGTTTCTTTCTTGTTGAAGCCATCACCGACACATTACTTGCATTTCTAATTGACATGGTGCACAATTGATACTAAATATCGACATTGTGGATATCAGAAATGTCATGGGAATAAAGGCTCGATTGTCACACTAAAAACGATCCTGGGTCTAGAAAATGTGCTGGTCAAAGGGACAGAAGATCTTCATATGGTACAGGGCTGCCACTGGGTAAAACACCCCTCTCCCTCTAGCTTGCCTCAGCTGCCGTGTTAGTGGAAGAAAGGGGAATAAAAGAAAAAAGGAATTGAAGGTAATAAAATCCATCTTTTCTGGTTGACACTCAAAGGCTTCCCAAGCTTAATTCTGGTGCCACTAAGCTGCAGCTCAACACACCTGGCTTCAGAAACACCTCTGTCACATACCAGGAGCCTGGACCAGAATCTAGCTCACACTATACAGCAAGGGAAGCAGGAAATCGGAGA